TTTTTTCGTTGGAACGTTTTGGCATGTGAACTTTTTTGTCTCTGACATTTTACAGATGTAAATTTAATTTTTATCTGTTGATTGAAAATCATCGAAGGTAACATTGGAAGCCATCTTTTGGAGATGATTCTGGTCTCATCCTACTCTAGGTTGTTGTCCATTGGCTTCTTGTCTAACTTAATTGTTTAAATTATGCTTGTCTGATTGCAGCCAAATTTTTAGTTTAAATAGAAACTAAGTTATCATGATGACCTCTAGAACATTTTTTATCCAGCGACAAATGTGTTTGTTTTTTCTTTTTTCCTTTTGTCCCTTAAAGTTTTTTATTATTCATCATCTTATATGTGTTAATCATAGCAGATCTGCACAACCGGGATCAAGTTCTCATGAAAAGTGTGCTGGTGATCAACTTAGAGGTTAAAGATAACCATGAGGAAGCAGCCATAGGAGCCCGTCTAGCTTTAGATCTTTGTGAACAGGTCCCTGTCATTTGATGCTATGAATATTCCTTTATGGTTTATATTTCATTAGTAGCCTGTTGTGCTTAATTCTTTTTGCTTTTTCATATGATTTTAATGCTTAGATTGAAGCTGCTGAGTCATGGGAGGAATCAATTGATGATATTCTGGCTTCTTTTGAGAACAAGCATCGGCGGAAGCTACTGTATAGCATCTCTTTCTATTGAAGGCATCCTTGATATATGAATAAATTAGTCCCTTGCTTCCCTAGTGCTAATTTGACTCTTGTTGATAATTGTTATCATTAACCAATTATTCCTTGCGCATCCCACGTTTTTGTTTTCCCTTTTCATGTAAGATTAATTTTCCCGCACGATCATGAAAGAAGACCTCTTTGGATGAAACTTCTGGGATCCTAATATTGATTTGATAAGTGGTTTTATACAAGTAATCATGAAAGAGGATCGCCTCAGATGAAACTTCTGGGATTGAAATTCTAGTTCGCTACTTGTTATTTATTACATGTAGTCCTGCATGTAGCACTATTTGTTTTCTGGTGGTGTGAGCTATAAGAGAGACACATGGATCACAATTCACACATACAGGGCTATGTAAGTGGTCTGTAGAGCATGGAGGTCTTGTAATCGAACGAGACCTCTGCAAGCCGTGCTGAGCAAGCTAGAAGAAACTCTTTAATTTTGTATTTGCCCAGAGTTACTTTCAGATTGTAACATTTCTCATTGTAAATGGTATTTTCATCATTTTGTTCAATCTTTTTTGGTGCAAAAAGAAAGAAAGAAAAGATAAATTTTGATAAAGCTACAGTTATGGACAGTCTTTGACTTAAAGGCTATGATTCTTGAATTCTGAGAACTCGTTAGTTAGTTTTCAAAGTTTAAAGCTCTAAAACTCAACCTTTTGCACTTAAAGGGGAGGACACATCATTAACATATCAAAGAAGAAAAAGGAATTCAGTATTTTGATGTCACAATCCTTTCTTCTTTTCTTTCCTTGAAGGTAAACGGATAGTAAAGAGTACTGACAAATTGCACCTACAATTTCTTGTATGCTTTTCCCTAAGGTGCGAGTGCTAGTTACATACCAATGTCTTCGGTTGAATAGAGAGAGCCACAAAATCTTGGATGGCTTCCAACGGCAGAGAAGCAACCCAAGAACACAAACGGTCTAACCCGCTATTTGGAGGCAAAGAAATTCGATGTATCTATATAATTCTAGTACTTCAAAAGGAAAACACCAGTAAACCAAATACTGCCAGCACCTCCTATCAGCAAAATTCCAGGTTGAGAAGTTCATCTGCCCAAGCCATGTCCTTCATTTTAGTTTTAATGTCAGGCTGATCAAACAACTTATCCTTACTATTCTTTGGCAACAGCAGGCAACTGACAGCAGCACTACCACAAGGTAGATAGTTCTCATGGCCATACGGCCGGAAGAGCTCCTCCCATGATTCAGAAGCTGAGGGAGGTACTTCCCACAATTCCATAATGGACGGCTCATCCTTCCATTCATCCCACTGATCCAAACAGGGTTGTTCTTTGACATTTCTGTATTCCTTGACAACTTTCTTCATGGTGTGTTTTGTCATTGTTTTCTCTGCATTGTTTGCCTCCTCTTGGATTGGATTGCTAGAAACATCATCGAGCACAGACGAAGGAAACAGTTGTGAAAACAATTCACTTGTCAATGAACTCTTATTCTTCGCTGCCATCATGTCTTCAAACTCACATTTCTTTGTCTGATAAGCAGCAGCAGCCTCCTCCTCAGTGCTATGGGTACCAAGCCATAGTCGTTTCTTGTTAAAAGGATCTCTAATCTCTGAAGCAAACTTACTGCAAGGCCTTCTTCGAACGCCTTGAAACATACTCGAAGATCTTCGAGGTCTCCTAGAGCCCTTAACATCATTAATGTAATGTGAAGAATTTGAATGAGCATGATTTATGTGACAGAGATGAACAAGAAATCTCCTTGACCACACGCTTAGTACCCACGATCTGGTTCTTCCTCTTCTTCCAACAATCTATTTTTTCTTCATCGCTTGACAAATCTGTAGCATCAGGGTCATTGTATATAACTCGAAGCTTCTTGGGCAGATTCAAACCTGGCTTCATGATTATCTCTCGTCCAAATTATCACTCAACTCAAACTTCATGTTTTCAAGGCCTGGCATAATGTTTGACTATCAAATTTATACTATAAAATTGGTAAACCCCGGAACTAGGAATCCCTTCAACAAGGTGGATTCCAGTTCGAGGAAAAAGAAGAAAAAGGAAAGAATATCTTTTACATATCATTGCCAGCTTGAGTATCAAGAAAAACCATAAAATTATTCCCTTATATTCGAAAACACAATTTAAGAAAAAGGAAAAAGGAAAAGAAAAGAAAGAAAGAAAAAACAATGTTGTGTCCTTCCGGTGCCGCAGGCCTTTGTCCAAGGCAAGTCCTTGTTAGGGGTGAGCAATTGATTGGTTCATTCGGTTTGATCTATCATAATCAAGGATCAAATGGATTAAACTTTTTTTGAACGTCGACTTAACAGACCAAATTTAAAGAGGGGATCGAACTGACAAAAGATCAAATTGATTCGATCGGTTTGGTTTTGGACCAAGAGAATAAAAATTGTCATTTTTTCTACAAATGACAATATTGAAATTTATAAATTTTATCTAAATTATAAAATATATAAATAATTTAAACATTAGCAAAAACATAATAATTTTTCTTTCACTCACTTATCATAACATTTAACATTAGCAACAACAACATCCTTAAAATTGACATCCATAACCACAAGAGTCAAGACAACCTGTATCCTTTCACATAAACCATTAAATATACATTCAAGAGTTTTAACCTCGAAGTTCTAACATTTAAAATTCAACATAAAAAAGATAATAAAATTAACTCTAACAATAACTTAATAAGTAGTAAATAGGAAATATATATTATATATATAATATTAAGTTTGGGTTTTTGATCGGTTGAATCTAAAAATTTTAAGATAAACAATCGACTAAATAAATTGATTGGATCAAACTTTTTGGATCGATGAACTAAATGAACCAATTAGGTCAAATCATTACCTAAATTGCATTTGGTTCGATCGGATCATTGGTTCGATCTAATTTTGCTCACCCCTATTCCTTGCACATTATATAGAAACAAAAAGGAAAAATATTTTTGGTTTTAATAAGTCAAATGAATAAAACCGCATAACATAAAAATTTAAAAGAGCAACCGCAAGCAACATTTCAAATATATGAAAATTTTCTTTCATTTCTAAAACAAATTTGATGAATATTTCATTTTCCCTAACTCTGTTTCTTAAAATGCTTCTGGTTGTTGCAATGCAGTGGATAATACATAAATAGCCTTCAATCGTTTGTAAATGTGTTTTTATTTTGTTCAATCAACGCATTCAACTTGTATTTTAGTGTAAATAAAGAACTTTCATATGAGAGAAGAATACTATCATTTTGAAACAAATTTTGTTATATAAAATTTTATTTTATTTTTATATTAAAACTATCGTCGATCCATCTCTGACAACACTACCCTTACCTTGAATCCCCCTTTATCATCTTCAGTCCTCCACCTCTCTCTTCGCCATTTTTCTCATCCTTGAATCTTTCTCTCTCCTTTTTTATGAAGACAAATCTCTCTATGGATTTGACAAGGCATAATAATTAAAAAAAAATATTATATTATATTAAAAAAAATTTATATAAGTTTTTATTTTTTTATTATGTTTAGTCAAATCCTTAGACTCTTTATTTTGAACCAAATAAGTTTTAATGATTAATTGTTGACTAATTATCATTAGTCAATGGCACATCATTTTATTTCATATGAAATTGATGTTATATGCTGACTTGTCATATTGAATGGTGATATGGCATGATAAAGTGGTCATGTAATAGTCTCATCCTCTACTATGACAAGTTAACATACC